ACATCGGCCCCTGCCTGTCAAAAGTCACCAGAGCACTCGAGCAAGTTTGCAAAGCTCTGAAACTGCTCGACAAGGACCAACGGCCGCCACCCGGCCAAAAAGATGCCTCCACCGCCACCGATCCCAACATCGACATTCCTGCCACCAACGCACCGAAGCCCACGACTTCCTCCCAGCCCGCCGGAAAAACCGGCCAAACGGCCAACGGCAACGGTCGTCGAAGGAGGAATAACAAAAAACCCAAGCTGGACGCAAGGACCCCCATGGCCAATCCTCCGGCTCAGAGGAACGAAGTTAACCTAACCTAACCTAAGCAGGTGCACTGGTGGAACGAAACCATTGCAGCGTTACGCGCCGAGCACAGTAGGTCACGCAGATGCTACCACAGGGCAGCCCGAAGACGCGAGCCCACTGAACAGCTGCAACTTCTCCGCGAAGCATACAAAACCAAGAGGAAGGAGCTCCAAACATCAATCAGAACCGCTCAGGCCAAGAGCTGGTCCGATCTCTGCGCTGCCGTTGATTCTGACCCTTGGGGACTTCCTTATAGAGTCGTCACAAAGCGGATAGGCCGCAATCGACCGGGAACCGAATCGCGAGGTAGAGAATCGACAATAGCCGATCACCTCTTCCCAAATCACCCACTCACCGACTGGCATCACACCCCGCTCCCTCCGGAGGATCCTGAGAATGACGAACAAGTTACTGGGCCTTTCACTATGCCTGAACTGCAACTATCCTGCAAGAGACTTCCTCCCGGTAAGGCAACCGGGCCAGACGGCGTCCCAAACGAAGTCCTCGCCAAAATAGCAGCGCTCAAGCCTCGCGTTCTTCTCGACGCCTTCAACACCTGCCTGGAGAAAACCACCTTTCCTACCAAATGGAAGCAGGCAAGGTTAGTACTCCTGCACAAAGGACCTGGAAAACCAACGACAGAACCAACCAGCTACAGGCCACTCTGCATGTTAGACTCGGCTGGCAAGCTGCTGGAGAGGCTGCTGCTGTCAAGGCTCGACCAGCACCTCGACCGCACGGGCCGCCGATCCCCAAATCAGTACGGCTTTCGGTCCGGCAGGTCAACGGAAGACGCCATAGAGCGGCTACTCGAGACGGCCCACGGTGCAGCCTTGGGAGCCGTCCAACACCGGGATATCTGCGTTGCCGTCTCGCTGGATGTAAGGAACGCCTTTAACTCGGCTCCGTGGCCTATGATTGACGCCGCGCTCCGGGGAAAACTGGTTCCCCCTCGACTAATCTCGATGATCAGATCATACCTCAAGGACCGCTCCATCCTAGTCGGCGAACTTCTGCTCCGGAGAGACATGACGTGTGGCGTCCCCCAGGGCTCAGTCTTAGGGCCGGCTCTCTGGAACGTGTTCTACGATGCACTTCTAGACCTGGAAATGCCCCAAGGCGTCCAACTCGTCGCCTTCGCTGACGACGTGTGCGTCCTGGGGATCGCGAGGACCGGCCAGGCAGCAACAACCCTGATGAACCCAGTCCTAGAAACGGTGTCAATCTGGATGAGGCAAAACGGGCTAACACTCGCTCCTCAGAAATCCGAAGCAGTGGTTCTCACCTGCAAGCACAAATACACGGATCCAGAACTGTTCGTCAACGGACACGCGATACCTGTGAAGCGGTCCATGCGTTACCTCGGCGTGCAACTGGATTCGCGGCTATCGTTCACGGAACACATCCAGCAAGCCTCCCAGAGAGCCACTGAGTCAGCGCTGGCAATAGGCAGGCTGATGCCAAACCTGGGCGGACCTTCGCAGAGCAAAAGGTCACTTATTGCCACCGTTGTCAACAGCAAGATGCTGTACGCGTCCCCGATGTGGGCCTCTCGGGGCACCAAGACGGCGAAAAACAGGGCCGAAATGGCGAGGGCCCAAAGGAAAATAGCTCTTCGGATCACCAGATGCTACCGGACCGTCTCTGCGGACGCCTCCTCGCTGCTGTCGTCTATGATCCCAGCCGACCTGCTGGCAAACGAGAGGGCAAGAATTCGTCTTCGGCTCAACGACCAAGATGACGCAACCGCCACTCCTACGATTAGGAAGCAGGAGAGGGAAATCTCCACACGCGCGTGGCAGTCCAGATGGGACCGCTCCCCAAACGGCAGGTGGACGCACAGGCTACTCCCCGACGTAGGTCGCTGGCTGTCGAGGCCACCCCTCGGTTTATCGTACCACCTGACTCAGGCCCTGTCCGGACACGGGTGTTTCAGGAAATATCTGCACGACAGGGACCGGGCCGCAGACAGCTACTGCACGTACTGTATGTACCCGGAGGACACGGCAGAGCACACGCTCTTCGCGTGCCCTAGGTGGGAGGACGAACGCGCTGTCTTGACCAGGATCCTCCGACGCCCACCAGAGCCCGGGGACGTCGAGGACATCCTATGCGGTCCTCCAACCGACCTACTACCGGACGATGCAGTTTGCAGATCCAGACTCCTGGCGCAAGCGCAAACTAACCGACTGCAGCTCGTAGAAATGTTTGACTCAATCCTCGGAACGAAGGAAGAGGATGAGCGAGAGGAGCAGAACTATGGCTAGTCGCCAGATGGGACAAACGATGAAGAACGGTCAGCTTCACCCCGCAATTCGCTTGCGAAACGTCGGAGGTGTCACCGACCACGTTCTTCATCCCCCCCACCTGTGACACCACGGGAGGGAGAGGCGATCACGGCATCGCTGGACAACCGGAGAGAACGAGGCTTCAAGGGCGGCGGACTCCGGTCGGCCCGCCAATAGGATTGCAGAACGAGAGCACTAGGGCGGCGGACTCCGGTCGGCCCGCCAAAAGGTGACGTCTCAACATCCGTAAAATGTAAAAATGTTATGCTATTAATATGTCATGTAAAGAGGGGGGTAAGTCGGGGAACTGTCCCGTCTACCCCCCACGTATGTATAAATATTTGTCTTTGTCAATAAACGATGGCGGCGTCGCGGAAGTAATGCGAAAGCTGTTCCCGCGACGCCGTCGGTTGAAACTGAAAAAAAAAAAAAAAAAAAAAAAAAAAAAAAAAAAAAGGTTAGGTTAGGTTAGGTTAGGTTAGGTTAGGTTAGGTTCCCCCCCGACGGGACCCACCTTGCCGTGGTGGGGGGGCTCACGGGCCATTTACTTGGTCCGTGCTAAGCGGTTCCACCCACAGCGCCGGTCCTGACCTTTACTGGTCGGCACCGGCAGGACTAGTCCACCTGCCAGCATTGGCAAACGGACACAGAAGGAAACTGTAAACCAGAGCCAGCCCAGACCCAACACGTTGGGGCTGGCAGGACCAGTCCACCTGCTACCTACGGCAAACGGACTCAGATGGTAACTGTAAATCCCCCAGAAGGCAACTGTAAATTTCCCCCCTGGCGGTAGGGTTAAAACGCTGGTTAGAATTCACCACAAAAATCGCACATGGATCAAAATTCTGGAAATTTACCCCTGACCAAGGGCCCCACGGATTCAGGGGGGGGCCCGTCCATAACTGGAAACAAGACTGGAAAACTGGAAAACGGACAAGAGGATAAAGAAGGACACGGATGCACCAAAGGAACTGCTGAGACGTACGTGGGGGCTGAAGCGTCGCCCGTCGTGAAGATAATCGACATCACCACCCTCAGCGAAGCTGAGTTGTTAGACAAAACCCTCCACTACGTTGCAAGCATGGAAAAATTTGCGTTGGCCACGCGCAATGTACACAGGGAGATCAAGGATACTCTCCCAAAACTGCGTATGCTCCTAACGCAGTATATAAAAGTGAAAAAGCAGGGAACTGGTGACAAGGGGCAGAACACCCAGAAGCCAGAAGTGAAGGACGCTGGGAAATGCGCGGCCACACAAACGCCAACGCCGACGAATCCCGAGAAGCCAGACGGTCCCCTCATGGCAATGCTGGAAAGAATCCAGGAGCAGTTGACGTCGCAGCAGGGATCAATCGACCAGCTAGCGGCAGAGCGGAACCAGCTGCACCTAGAGAAACGGTCGAACACCAAGCAGCAGGAGCGCGGCCGGCAGCAACAGCAAGAACAACCAACCGCAGCCACTGCAAAAAAGCAGCGCCAGCAGCAACCAAAGTCGCCGAAGCAGCAACAAAAGTCGCCTAAACAGCAACAGCAGCGAGAGCAACAGGCACCTGAAGAGGTGCAGGAGCAGGGTCGGCAACAGCATGAGCAAGCGCAGGAACCGCAGCAGGAACCCCAGCAGCAGCAGCAGACCTGGAGCGAGGCCGTTAGAAAGAGGAAGCCACCGAAGCCGGCCCAACAACCGCGCCCTACCACCGACCAAGTGGCTCTCCTGCGGAAGCGGGCTCCGCGATCCATGGCGGTGACTATCGACCGCCCGGCAGAAGGAGGCTCCCTAGCCTCCGTGATGAAAAAAGTATCGAGGTCAATCAACCTCCAGTCCCTTGGCGTCAAGGTCCTGACGACAAGAAAGACCAGAGCGGGAGGAATTCTCCTTGAGGTTGAGGGGAACGAAAAAGCCACACTGCTAGCTGGGAAGATCCGGGAGGTGGTAGGAGATGCGGCCAGGGTCAGGTTACCCGAGCCCCGTACGCCCGTCCTACTTCTGGGAATTCCGGAATGGGCAGAGGCAGAGAACGTCATTGCCGGCGTCACTCAGGCGGGAGTCACTGGAGTCACCTCTGAGAACGTGATTATCCGCAAGAACTCCGGTGGTAGAGGGGAGTTCGTCGCGAGCCTCCACTTGCCGCTCAAGGACGCCATCACGCTGGCGGAGAGGAAAACGGTCACCGTGGAGTGGACCAGGTGCAGGGTCAAGCTGTTGACTAACAACCAACCAACCTGCTTCCGCTGCCAAGGAAAAGGACACCTGGCTGCCGAGTGCCAGGGCGAGGTCAAGCCCCGCCGCTGCCACAGATGCAACAAAGATGACCACCTGGTGAAGGACTGCGCCCTACAGAAGCAGGCGCAGCAGAAGCCGCAGCCGCAACCCTCAACCTCAAGTTGTGGGACGCTTGCAGAAGCAAGTAGTGCGGTGTGATGGGACTCAACTTCGTGCAAGTCAACCTCAACCATTGTCGCGTGGCACAAGACCTCGTCGCGCAATTCATGGTTGAAGAAAGAGTCGACGTTGCCCTGCTCAGCGACCCCTACAATGTGGATCCCCCATCCAGCGCCTGGCACGTGAGCGCCGGACAACGGAAGGCGGCCATCTATGTTGCGAACACGGGAGTAACGGTGGCCAATGTCATCAGCGACCCCGAGTTCGTCGCAGTTCGGCTTAACGGCGTCCAAGTGTACAGCTGCTACGCGTCGCCCAACAGACCCCTCGAAGACTTCCAGGACCTTCTCCGCCGTCTCGAGGACAGCATCAGGACCGTACAACAGGAAGTCCCCGTCCTCGTCACCGGGGACCTCAACGCGAGATCTGCTGCGTGGGGCGACTGGGTCGAGAACCGGAGAGGCCACGAATTGAGTTCGTTGGTCGAGTCCCTCAACCTCGTTACCTTGAACGAAGGCTCCACCCCCACCTTCCCCAGAGGCGCAGGATCAATTGTCGATGTTACCTTCGCATCGGAGTCCCTGGCAAGCCGAGCAAATAACTGGAGGGTGCTGGAGTCGGTGTTCAATTATAGTGACCACCACTATATCCGCTACTCCCTAGCGCGAAACAGTGAAAGCCCTTCCCCTGCTGCCTCCAATACCTTCTGTGGATGGGACACCTCTGACGGAATAGACAGCGACTCATTCCACTGTGGCCTGCTGCTTGCCGAGTGGCTTGACCAAGGCATCGTCCAGGACGGACTCGACGCCGATTCGGAAGCCGTAACCTTGCGCTCAAGAGTAACGGCCGCATGCAACTACGCCCTACCTCCACGGCGAGCTCCAAGATCAGGGAAGCCTCCCGTGCACTGGTGGAACGGGGAAATCAATTCGCTCCGTGCGGAGTGCGTCAGGGCAAAACGTTGCAAGGTCAGAATGGTGGCCCGCATTGCCCGGCTTCGCATACGTCTTTCGGCTGATTTCGACAACGTCCGAGCAGAATCAGAGCTCACCAGGACCAACGACGAGTTCCGTGAAGCCAAGAGGCAGCTCAAAATAGCTATCCTTCAGAGCAAAAACAAATGTTGGAAGGAGCTCATCTCCGCTGTAGACGGTGACCCATTCGGGAAACCTTACAAGCTGGTAATGAGGAAGCTGAGGGGACCACCCGCGATAGCCTCTATGGAAATGCCGACACTGCAAAATGTCATCAGCACACTGTTTCCATCAAACCAGATCAGCAGTTATAGGAACCTGCCCGCCTCCGGACCACCAGTTCCATTCACCGCGGACGAGGTTAATGCGGCAGTTGATAGAGCACGCAGCAAAAACAAGGCACCCGGCCCTGACTGTATTAACAGCAAAATCCTCGCGGCAGTCCACAAAGCCAATCAGTGCACCCTGAGAGACCTCTTCAACAAATGCCTCCACCAAGGAATTTTCCCGTCGGAGTGGAAGTTTTCCCGAGTTGTTCTCCTGAGAAAAGGCATTAAACCAGAGGGTGTCCCGTCATCGTATCGCCCGCTGTGCCTCCTCAACGACGTTGGGAAAATGCTGGAGTTCCTCCTCACTCGAAGACTGGAAGACCACATCACCTCGAGGGGCAATTTGTCGCCCAACCAGTACGGCTTCCGGAAGAACATGTCCACTGATGACGCGGTGCTGAAACTACATAATACCATCGTTAACGAGGTTAACGATGGAAAATTCTGCCTTGCGATTAGCCTAGACATCAAAAACGCATTTAACACCATCAAATGGCCTGATATAATGGCAGCATTGGAGAGCTGGGACGTCCCTTCCTACCTGTACCGCATGTTCCAGTCATACTTCTGCGGCAGGTCTGGAATGGTTTCCACCGGCAGTGGAAGAATGGAGGTCGAGATCTCAGGAGGAGTGCCACAGGGATCCGTCGTTGGTCCCCTTCTCTGGAACACAACGTTCGACTCTGTCCTGCGAGTGCCACTACCACATGGAGCGAAGTTACTTGGTTTCGCAGATGACACCTTGTTGGTGGTCTCATCTAAGACCGTTGAAGAGCTGGAAGCACTCGCGAACAATGCGTTACGGCTTGTAGAGGATCGCATCTCAAACCTCAGCCTCCAGATCGCGGCAGATAAAACAGAGGCTGTTCTCTTCACCCATAAGTACAAACACGGGACACCAAACATCGAGGTAGGCGGGAAGACAATACCGTTGACGAAGAAGATGACATACCTCGGAATGATCATAGACAGTTCCCTCTTCTTCAAAGAACACATGCAGTCAGCATCGGCCAAGGCGGAAATGATCTCCACACAGTTAGCAAGGATCATGCCAAACGTCGGCGGTCCGCGGGAGGATAGGCGCCGTTTACTGTCGTCGGTCGTTCACTCCGTGTTGCTGTACGGCGCACCGTCCTGGGCGCATACCCTTGACCTCATTCCTGGTAATGTGAAGCTGTTGAACAAAACCCAACGGAAGATACTTCTCCGATGCACCTGTGCCTATAGAACGGTCTCAGGGGTAGCGGCGAATGTGCTGGCGTCAACCCCGCCTGCCGACCTGTTGGCAAGAGAACGCGAAACCGAGTTCCTATGGAGGCGAGGGGGGCCCAATGCCCTAACCAAAGAAGAGCTGAGGAAAGATACTCTCTCCAAATGGCAGGCGAGATGGGATTCCGTTGATGCGGATGACCCCGGTAGCTGGACGAGGAAACTCATTCCCGACGTGGCTATATGGTGTTCAAGAGGATTTGGCCAGGTAGACTTTCATCTGACCCAATTCCTCTCCGGTCATGGTTGTTTCGGGTATTACCTCTGCCGTTTCAAGAAAGTCGAACAACCTCATTGTGTCGACTGCAATGACCCATTGGATAATGCTGAGCACGCAATATTTAAGTGTGATAGGTGGTGGCGGTTAAGGATTGAGCTGGAAGCTGAACTGTCAGTGGAGTTTACTGCAGAAACCGCAACCAATACAATGCTGAAGTCAAGGAGACACTGGGAAGCTGTCGCCAAATTCGTCCACCATATCCTGTCCACCAGAGAGAAGGAGGAGCGTGAGAGACAGCGAGGACAAGTAGCTGGAAATTAACTAGTTAAGAATTTTAAATTTGTGGGCCGAAAGCCAATGTTTATGGGAGGGTTAGAGGCCCTCCATGTATGTATAATTATTTGTAACTGTTGATTGCATTTAATAAACGATGTAGGGGAGCTGGCGAATTACCCCACCAGGTATTTCCGGCCCCCTGCGATAACGTATAAAAAAAAAAAAAAAAAAAAAAAGGTTAGGTTAGGTTAGGTTAGGTTAGGTTAGGTTAGGTTAGGTTAGTCTGGCTCCGACCACGAAACCGATCGCACGCACCTCCGTATCGCTCCCGACGAGTTTTTTGTTTTCACCGAAAACTTCGAACCGATCCGATCGATTCAGGTACCTATCGATTCGTCTCGACTCCGCCGTCACGCCAAGACATCGCGCGTCGAAATCGGCCCAGCCGCGCCCGAGAAATCGCGAAAACAGTGCGTGAAATTCCGCCGCCCGCCGCCGATAAAAAGTTCGACCAAAAAGTACCTCCGATTCGCCCGTTTCATGGCTCAATCGCTTCAGCTGCCCGCCACTAAGTGAAAAAGCCATCGCGCGCGATCGTAGGTCTTAAACTCAGTGAGATACGGCGACCTAAGTGCACCGCGCTCGGCCGCCCGACCTCACGGCAACACCAGATCCGCTGGTGCTCACCACCCAAACACCGCACGCACCCGTTCGAACCACCAAAAAATCCGCACCGCCCGTGCGCATCTTTTGGTGTACTCAGCGGGCCCGTAGCTGGCCGCCCGGCAAAAGCCGACGCCGCTTTGTGACGCCTCCGCGAAAAATCGCTACCGAATTACGCAGCCGCACTGAGTTCGCCGAATCCGACGCCCGCGAACCCAATCGCAAAATCCGGATCGCGCGTTAAGTGAACGGTGACAGTCTGGTCACAACGCGAGTGCGAACGTCAGTTTTGCTGCAGAAACCAGCCCTCCAGACCAACTATTGCTAAGTACAATATCGGCTGACAAAAGCGACCACCCAGCGACGACCAGACGACCCACGTCTAGGCCCATCAGCTGTTTCGGTCCGCCTTGCTGAGCTCTAACGTACAATACATCGAGCGGGCCAATCCGTTCAATAGGGCCCAGGTGAGTTAACTATTAATTCACCCCATAAGGTTAACACGGCCGCCCGTACTATCACGCGGCTCCGATCCCCGTGATAACGGATTTTGCCACTGCCATCGGGCCGGTCGCAAATCCGCGACATTCGTTCTAACGTCAACGCGACGCGAACGACTCGGGACGCGAACGTCACTTGGTCACGGAAAAAATCGGAAATTTGAAAACGCCGGTGTGCGAGAACCAGCGCTCGGAGAGCGCTGCGGAAAACAGCCACGTGGCTGGGGCAGCGGCCCCCACCCCCACGCGAAAGTTTTCCCTCACCCCGTTTTCTTAAAACGCCAATAACTCCGGCCACAAAGGTCCCACGACCTCAGGACTCGGGCACAAGGCCCAGAGGCACCTCTCGGACGAGGTCCCCCCAACGGAAAAAAACCGAAAATCCCCCCCCCAAATTTTTTTTTTTTTTTTTTTTTTTTTTTTTTTTTTTTTTTTTTCTCTTCCTGTCCTTCGCGACCCCGCTTTTTCAGGATAGTCAGCCATGCCGTCCTCCGTCCCAGACGACTGGGAAATGGACGCCTTCTCCGACCACGGCCCTCATCACAAGAGGAAGCAAGCCAGCTCCCCGGCCGCAGACTCCCAGGTCCAGAAGACGAAGAAGAAGAAGACGCCCAACACCGCTACTTCGACAACAACCAAAACACCGACCACCTCAGACTCCGGTAACGCGCTCATCGCAGCCACCAGAGCCACGGAATACGCCTGTGATCTCGTACAGAGCCTCGCGGACGAGTTCTACTCCGAGGATTACATCGGCCCCTGCCTGTCAAAAGTCACCAGAGCACTCGAGCAAGTTTGCAAAGCTCTGAAACTGCTCGACAAGGACCAACGGCCGCCACCCGGCCAAAAAGATGCCTCCACCGCCACCGATCCCAACATCGACATTCCTGCCACCAACGCACCGAAGCCCACGACTTCCTCCCAGCCCGCCGGAAAAACCGGCCAAACGGCCAACGGCAACGGTCGTCGAAGGAGGAATAACAAAAAACCCAAGCTGGACGCAAGGACCCCCATGGCCAAACCTCCGGCTCAGAGGAACGAAGTCCCTGAAGTCCCGCCAACCGATCAACCCGAACACTCAGGAAACCGATCTGTCGAACATGAAGAAGTCCCCTTCACTCTGGTCCAGAAGGTAACCAAGAAGCCGCCTGCCCCGAGACCGCAGCAAATCAGGAAAATCGTCCAGAGACCAGCCGCCGTGCTCGTCAAGGTCCCCGAAGGCAAGTCCTACGCAGACACCCTGCGCCAAGTTAGGGGCACCGAAATAGACTTCGAAGGCCTCGGAACCCACGTGACTTCAATGAGGAGAACGCTCAAAGGCGACCTGCTCGTCGAGCTGACCAAGGGCGCAAAGGCCACTGCCGCCACCTCAGCCATCCGCGACAAGCTCGCCGAAAACATGGCAGGAGCCGTGGTCACCAGGCTCCGGCACACCGCCGAAATTGAAATAACCGACCTCGACGAGGTCACCACCAGAGAAGAGGTCCTCGCCGCGATTCTGAAGAGCGCGCCGGACGGCCAACCCCTCTCTGAAGATGAGGTCAAGGTAACCGGCCTGTGGGCCACGCGGGACAGCCGTCAAATGGCCACTGCAACAGTGCCCATCGCCATCGGTCGGAGTCTGACATCCGTCCGCGTCGGCTGGACTCAGTGCCGGGTCCGCCCGCGCAGACCGGAGCCGGCAAAGTGCTACCGCTGCCACGGCTACGGACACGCCACGCGGCAGTGCACCGGCACCGACCTCTCCCACGCCTGCCGAAGATGCGGACAGAACGGACACACCGAGGCCACATGCACCGAGGGTGCGGACCTGTGCGTCGCCTGTGACCGCATCAAGGCCCCACGCGTGCCTCACAAGCCCGGCTCCGGGGCTTGCGCCGCCCGAAGGAAAGCCATCTCAGAGATGAACGCCACTAACCGAACATGATCACGTTCCTTCAGATAAATCTCCACCGGTGCGCCACTGCCCAGAGCCTGGCCCAACAGACCTCTGCCTCCATCGGCGCCCAGGTGCTACTCCTATCTGAGCAGAACTGGAGTCCAGCTCGGGATGACCGATGGACAGTCAGCACCGACGGAACCTGCGCAGTCGTCTTAACGCCTACCGCCGAATTCGTTGCAGACACCTCAGGCTCGGGCCGCGGATTTGCCTGGATCCAGACGCGCAACGTCAGAACTTATAGCTGCTATTCCTCCAGAAACGACTTCAGCGAAAATTACACGGCCTTCCTCGGCGACCTCGAGCAGTCAATTCGGTCCGCAGACCCCGACTGCACTCTCGTCATTGGAGGCGACTTTAACGCCTGGTCCCACAGTTGGGGGTCAACACGGAACGACCAGAGAGGCGATCAACTATCAGATCAGGTTAGGTTAGGTTAGGTTAGGTTAGGTTAGGTTAGGTAGTAGGTTAGGTTAGGTTAGGTTAGGTTAGGTTAGGTTAGGTTAGGTTAGGTTAGGTTAGGTTAGGTTAGGTTAGGTTAGGTTAGGTTAGGTTAGGTTAGGTTAGGTTAGGTTAGGTTAGGTTAGGTTAGGTTAGGTTAGTCTGGCTCCGACCACGAAACCGATCGCACGCACCTCCGTACCGCTCCCGACGAGTTTTTTGTTTTCACCGAAAACTTCGAACCGATCCGATCGTTTCAGGTACCTATCGATTCGTCTCGACTCCGCCGTCACGCCAAGACATCGCGCGTCGAAATCGGCCCAGCCGCGCCCGAGAAATCGCGAAAACAGTGCGTGAAATTCCGCCGCCCGCCGCCGATAAAAAGTTCGACCAAAAAGTACCTCCGATTCGCCCGTTTCATGGCTCAATCGCTTCAGCTGCCCGCCACTAAGTGAAAAAGCCATCGCGCGCGATCGTAGGTCTTAAACTCAGTGAGATACGGCGACCTAAGTGCACCGCGCTCGGCCGCCCGACCTCACGGCAACACCAGACCCGCTGGTGCTCACCACCCAAATACCGCACGCACCCGTTCGAACCACCAAAAAATCCGCACCGCCCGTGCGCATCTTTTGGTGTACTCAGCGGGCCCGTAGCTGGCCGCCCGGCAAAAGCCGACGCCGCTTTGTGACGCCTCCGCGAAAAATCGCTACCGAATTACGCAGCCGCACAGAGTTCGCCGAATCCGACGCCCGCGAACCCAATCGCAAAATCCGGATCGCGCGTTAAGTGCACGGTGACAGTCCGGTCACAACGCGAGTGCGAACGTCAGTTTTGCTGCATAAACCAGCCCTCCAGACCAACTATTGCTAAGTACAATATCGGCTGACAAAAGCGACCACCCAGCGACGACCAGACGACCCACGTCTAGGCCCATCAGCTGTTTCGGTCCGCCTTGCTGAGCTCTAACGTACAAGACATCGAGCGGGCCAATCCGTTTAATAGGGCCCAGGTGAGTCAACTATTATTTCACCCCATAAGGTTAACACGGCCGCCCGTACTATCACGCGGCTCCGATCCCCGTGATAACGGATTTTGCCACTGCCATCGGGCCGGTCGCAAATCCGCGACATTCGTTCTAACGTCAACGCGACGCGAACGACTCGGGACGCGAACGTCACTTGGTCACGGAAAAAATCGGAAATTTGAAAACGCCGGTGTGCGAGAACCAGCGCTCGGAGAGCGCTGCGGAAAACAGCCACGTGGCTGGGGCAGCGGCCCCCACCCCCACGCGAAAGTTTTCCCCTCACCCCGTTTTCTTAAAACGCCAATAACTCCGGCCACAAAGGTCCCACGACCTCAGGACTCGGGCACAAGGCCTAGAGGCACCTCTCGGACGAGGTCCCCCCAACAGAAAAAACCGAAAATCCCCCCCCCCAAAATTTTTTTTTTTTTTTTTTTTTTCCCTTGGCCCTCGCGACCCCGTTTTTTCAGGATAGTCAGCC